AATTGGCTAGAAAATGACATGTCTCTCTTGTGATTGGTTCATATCAGTTGATGTGCAAAATCGTGCAATTTAGAGCTCAAAATCGTGCGATTTATGCTGAAATCACTGCTGCAGGGAACCAATCAAATTGCAGGATTTGCTTGTGATTTCAAAATGGATGTAATAAAGCAAGCAATCGCGCTGTGCCCCTGCTGTGACCAAAATGAATGGCACGGGGCTCCTCATGCACAGGTAGCCCCGTCACAGGTTTAGTGTGTGGTGGGGAAGCGTCATCTAAGCCCGAACGAAATGAGCTGTAATTAAGCCATGGGGCTGTTCAATATATCAACAACACACGGTGGGAGTTTTATTTGATTTTAATTATTCTAAGGCGTAAAAATGAGGATTCAAAAATACCCATATGATACCCATATAATCTGTGTCTGTCTGTCTGCTGTCTCTCGATCGATTCAGTTATTCAACACTAACGGTAAGCCTGGGCTACCTGTGCTCCAGTGTCTCAAAATAAACTATGACGTCATCCAAGTAACGACGAACAAGACAAGACATGAGCATGATGATCAGAGAATAACCAGTCGATCGAGATGCCTTGCTTTACGACAACTTCAACATGGGCTACAGACCTGAAAATAGGGCTCGAATCCAAGCAATACGTGGTCCAACTCAAGCGACAAGTGGGCTGCTGTAGAGAAGATTATCAGATCTTTGTCAACGGCAAAGAATTGCAAGATCATGGGCTGACTTTCACCCCTTGTGGTCCACTCTGCTCTTCCGGAGGAACATACGAATGGGTGCATGAAGGACACCACTTTCATATTATGGATGAAAGTCTGTCGTGGAGGAAAATAGATAGACGTTTCAGGCTGTTTGTAGATGGTATAGACGTCGATACAGGACTAGAGTTTGCAGCGTTTTGGCGTAGAAGAGGCATTCAACTAGTTGTCCTCGGCTCTGTCTTCATATTTCTTGCAGCATTGGTATACATTCTCGTTTTCGCGGTCTTCAAAGTGCATACGAAGTATCTTGGCAGCATGTCAGGCGCGAATGTGCTGTTTTGTTTTGGCGTCGCCTTTATTATCACTGCAGTGATTGTGTTCAAGAAATACTCTCAACCAAAGTCCTATCCTTCTTCATCATCCTGGTCAAATGTGGATTACCAATCCTTTAGGAATGTTTGAGAGACTTTGAGATAAAGACGGTCAGTTGTGGCACGAAAAAAATGTACCAACCTCTCATTAGATTAACCAACGCGCTGCCTGTTTTATTRTTATATTACATTTTTCCTCAAGGGATTTTTCTTAAGGGATTTYGAGTCATTTGTTTGCACCCCAAGAATTATAAAATTTATAAAGCATAAAGTTACTCAATAATTCATGAAGGAAACACAATAGAAATCATGACCATGGAGGAGGTTTTATATCTGATATAGATTCGTCTTCATTTGCATAAACTTGAACTTGGATTTTCTCTATCAAACTTGGTTCATTTCGTAAAGAATTCAGTACAATATGAGAAC